TGATGGGCTCGTAATCACACAATTAAGATGTACTGTGTACACTAGCTCGGAATATAATGAGCAACATGAGTAACACCAATACTGACCGCTAGAAGCATCAGCGTGTAGCAGAAGAAGCATTGGCCAGAGTACGTGAAACATTGCGTACTGGACCAAACCAATTCAGCACTGCAGGAATAGCATCACAGCTGCAACAGCCGCAACACAGCAAAGTGCAAGCAATGCACAGCACATTCCAGTTAGCGCATGCTCGCTGATCTCACAAGAAACATTAGACAACTGGCAAAGACGCTGCGAGAATTTAATGTTGATGATTTGATGACGCACGCAATGGTAGGTAAGCGACTTTGCGAACACGATCCTCACTTGCGTAAACCCGAATACTTGCTTGCGGCTGTTTGCGAGCATGTTGATGTGATACATGGTGTGATATGATAGCATGCTCACTTGCACAGTTCCAGGTGCGGTCGACATTGCAGGACATGATCCGAAAGTCTGTGGCAAAGATCAAGTCGAGCATTCCAGCCGGCGCGGCTGACGATGTGGCAGCCTTTCTGGCGGATCAACTCTCGGCAGCGAACAGGAATGCCGCTGGCAACAGTGGGCAAGCCCCCGGCGCTCGCACTGTAATGCTGATGCTGTCGCAGCCATCTGCTGCTACAGTCAAAGCATGGGCAGGCCTGAATCAACACCGCAGATTTCACAGCGCAAGCCGCTTTCGCGTCAGTGCTTGAAAATGTTCCGAAGAAGCTTGGCGGACCAGACACATTGCGAGACGTCACCTTGGCCGACCTCATGTTCACGATGGCTGATGTCATTTACGAACACGTCCCAACAGCCGTGCCGAGTCTGGCTGCCGCCGTGGTGATTAAATTTGCTGAACACGACAGACTGTCGCCCGAAATCAAGGAGACTAGCGGCCCTCCAGTGCCGTCATACTACCACTTCCTCTGCGTGGCCGAGAACAATGGCAATGTGTCTCGGATTTGAATAGTTGACATGAGTGCCATGAATTGCATGTTGCCGGTCATGTTGCTTTGGCAGAACACTTTTTGCGCATCTCTGCGCTGCGTACAGGAAGGAGATGCGAACGAGTCAAAGACTCTGAAGCCCAACAATGATACCCTTCAAACTTTGTCTTGCGTCCGTGGGATGTACATGCTGAATGCTTTGCAGGCGCAGATATGCAGAGTAGCCAGTGACTTGTGCACATGTGGTGAAGTTGCCAGTTATCTTGTGGCGCAGGCTCTATTGAAACGATTGTCGAAGGATCAAGTATGGAGCGACTTCACCTCGGCCAAGATGTTGCGTTGCTTGCAGCTCATGCAGTCGGCAGCTGATGCTAGCGGAAGCAGCGGGACGATTCCAACGCCTGTGCTGGCAATGGAGTCACTGTTGACGGCAATGGTTGCTGACGAAAGCGACTGGTCCACTTGTTGGACAAAGTACCTGCGATATGCCATGGAGCACGACAAGATTCCTGGGTCGCTCAAGGATGTGTGTTTGTCAGTACCACGTCATCTGCAGTACATGCTTGATGCATCTCTCGCAAACATCGGTGTGAAAGCTGAAGACGATGGTGACTCCGCCGAAGTTGGCGAGACAAAGAAAGACGCAGCCACACTCATTCCAGAGTGGAAGCCAGGGCGTCGTGACAGAAGAAGTGAGCTAAGGGAACAACGTAACTTTAAATCAATACGTGAGGTTTTCTGATAGGGCCGGTCATAGACACAGAATGCAGCAGGGATAATAAGCCTCGTGAACATGATGATAACAATTCGGGAGGTATCTCAGGAGAGGAGTCCTCGGGATGTTCGCGAGCCTGAGGACAGCAGTGCTGAGGTTTGGGTGTGGGGTGGCCTCTCAGGATAGGAGTCCTCGCGATGTACGCCAGCCTGAGGACAGCAGTGCTGAGGTTTGGGTGTGGGGTGGCCTCTCAGGAGAGGAGTCCTCGGGATGTACGCGAGCCTGAGGACAGCAGTGCTGAGGTTTGGGTGTAGGGTGGCCTCTCAGGATAGGAGTCCTCGAGATGTACGCGAGCCTGGGGACAGCAGTGCTGAGGTTTGGGCGTGGGTTCTCAGGATAGGAGTCCTCGGGATGTATGTGAGCCTGGGGACAGCAGCGCTGATTGCTGAGTCTGAGGTTTGGGTTTGGGAGGTTCCCGAGTCCTAGGGTCCGAGGGATAAAACATCGAATCAAAATTATATATTACTTTTTTAAGCCGTGAGAAAGTTAGGGCTAGCACTAGCACAGTCGAGGCAGTTCCAACGACCACGCATTGGAAATGAGTCGCTGGTGACGTTCGAGCAGACACGCATTCCATTGAGTTCGATTTACTCCTTTGATTCCGGTTCTGATTACGCAGAATCTGCGCGCGTCATGGACATGGAATCGATCGCGTGCGGGCTGAGGTCCCACATGCTGGCCAAAGCATTTTAGCTCGCGTTTCATTGTCGTCAGTCATGAGTGTTAATGATGCAGTGCTGCCTTGTTTTCAGCATGTTGGCCTGATGTGTTGCTGCTGAATTTGCTGTCAGTCAGTCCTATGCTTCTAGCAGCCGATACGCGTATTTGCTGAGGGCATGCAAGAGTCGCGATGTGGTGGATGCATTGTACTTTGATTTCTCTTCCGGAGCAAAGCATATTGTGTCAGCAGATGCGCGCAAGTTGCACTCCAGCATGAGCATGACCGTGTTCGGCTCCATCACCACGTCGCGGAGCGCCAAGAGTTTTCAGGATCCTTGGCGTTAACTACCCTAATGTGTGCACGTGTGGCACAATCCGAAAGGCATACATATGTGTAGCAAGGAAGAGTTCATTAGGTAGCCGAAACCAACTTGTCGGGTGTGGATGTGCACTTCTACATGAGCCCTACGAGTCACGACAAAACCACCAGCGTCATCCCGTGCCCTGCGTTTCTGATGAAAACAATCTTCGAGAACGAGGAGGGAAGTAAGTCAAAGCAGGGCCAGCCAACGGCATTGTGGGAGAGCGTTGTGGAAGATGAGGTGCTGAAGCTTCACACTGCGTGACTCGGTTTTTGTTTGTTGTAACCCTGTAGCCTGTAGCCTTCAGCATTGCACTTGCAACATTGGTGTGTCTGTTGAAGATTAGTAAGAGGCGTATAACCACATTATGTTGCTTGAATGACGATGGACAGTGGGGGACAAGGGTGCTGAATCATGTTGGTCAGGTCCGGACCCGTGGTTGATGTTACAGTTCACTACCATGTGCTCAAGATCCGCTCAAGCGTGCTGGACAAGATCATGGACTCCGCGTTCATGCATTTGCGTGCGCATTGCATGTTTGCACTGTTTGCACTATATATTGCTGCCGCCGTTGCTGCTGCTGTTGCTATAGTTGTTGTTGTTGCTGCTGTTGCTGTTGGCATTGTTGTGGTTGTTGTGTTGTTGTGATTGTTGTCGTTGTCGTTGTTGTCGTTCATTCTTGCAATTGTTATTGTTATCCAGGTTATCCAATACTGTCTTTGACATTCCTGCGGACTTGCAGTTGTCTGCAACATGCAGTACTAGTCACTAGTCGGGAGCAGGAGAAGACGCCGGATGATGAGAGCACACCTTTGATGATTGCGCAAACTCGCACGGCGTTCACCAATGAGACTCAGAAGCCATCGAAGAGCAAGCATGTGCAGGATGCATCCGAACAAGGCGGCGCAGGCATCGGGAAGGTTCTCAAAGCCACACGTGATCCGAGCGTCAAGACGGAGGCGGCAGTCATCAAAAGGCTTGTCGATGGCACCACAAAGGATTCGAAAGACAAGAAGGACGTACAGTTTTTGCTGCGCTAGTAGGCAGGTAGAGTTTCCGCAGTTTCCGCTGCGCTGGTGTATGCACGAGCAGCTTCTGATGCTTCCGCAATGGCATATTGGCACATAGCAAAGGTGCAGTGTATGAGTGTGAGTCTATGAGCTTGTCAGTGATCAGCGGAACATCTGAAGATATGTATCCTGTATCTGTGCATATGCGCTTACTGGTTGAGTGCTGATGCAGCTGCACTCCAGTTCTTGAAGGTTTGATGAGACCAGCTAGCCAATCAACCGACCACACTCATCATGCTTGCTGTTGTTGATGATGATTTGCTGAATTGCTGTCGATTTCACAGTAGCAGATGTAGCCGCAATTGCTGCAACTTGCTGCAACCATTGTTATGCTTGCATTTTGCACTTGATGCTTGATGTGTAGTCGGCGATGCGCATAGCCATCTCACTCAGCACATCCGCCATGCGGCAGACCATGTGGGCGACCATATCCTTCATGTTGTTGGTGGGGTACATATACTAGTGTCCGGCACTGACCTCCTGGTTCGGATATGTCAGCATATCATGTTATGTAAATTCTCAAGTATGTTCGGATCTCACATGATTTTAACGGTGGGCGCCGGGAGCTGTCGCATGTGGAGATAAGTGGTTTATCTCCACGCGGTTCGTAGCTGCAAGATGAGTCACCTGCGGATTGACGCAAAAAAGAAATGCAGAGTGCTATGATGCTCATGATCATGCGTATCAAAAGGGGTGAGGCACATCGTAGCTGATCACTGATCACATTTGTTTGTCGGCATTTGGCAAGGTGCTTTCACATTTCTGAAGCGACGTGTGAGGGCATTGAATTTGCAGCATGATGGCGATTGACGCTTGTCTGCCAGTACGCAGTGTCTTGTCGCGCTGACAGCAGGTTCGACTGCAGTTCTCACGTTTATCACGTTTGCAGTTTGCAGTGGCAGTGGCAGCAGTGTGTCACCAACCAGTTGATGCAAGCGCGCACTACATGCACAGCGCGCGTGCAAGAACCCGGTCAACTCATGCATCCAAATATGCAACGCAATGCAGCACATGCACCACCATGCGACCATGCGAGCAACACATGTACCACCATGTGAGCAACGCATCACACAAGTGCAAGCGCAGCACGACATGCATAGCGAGCCACACATGCACACCAATGCACCAAGTCCACTCAACCAAAGCTTCTGCAGCTGGAAATGCATCAAATTGCTTGCACGCATGGCTGACATGAATACCTGGCAAGCAACAAACAGCAACGCATCAACTTCCTTTGTACATGATTAGATCCACAAAACATGGTTCGCATCAACTAACATCAACGCAATCAACACGTCAAGTCACTGCAACAATCCACTGTGCCGTATCAAACTGCATTAGTCCCGCATCCTGAGAAGTATATGTGCCCTAGGCTACACGGTGAGATCTATACAAACCCAAGCCCCTAAGGACTCACATCCCGGGTATAGTCCTTAGCAACATGGGGACTTGATTTCCAAGCCAACGAGCGTTCATAGTTCAGGGTTTAGGGTTTGGGGTTCAGGGTTTAGGGCTTTGGGTTTAGGATGTATGGTTTAGGGTTTGGAGTTTAGGGCCATGGGTTTAGGGGTTAGAGCTTGTGTCGTTTCTCAATTGCCATTTACATCGTTAAGTATACCCAAACCCAATCTACATTCAGAATGAGCATAACTTGTAAGCCCCTGGGCCAAAACCCCAAGCTCTATCAACCCTAAAACCTAAACCTTGAAACCTATCTCTAGACCCACAAAATCCCGAATTCGCAAACCCCAAACAACATTCAAGGACTGAGGGCTGTCGACTTCGGGAAGGGAGACCTACCTGGTTTCTTAAAAGATGCTCGGAGTTTGCTTGTTCCAGCGGTTTAGGGTTAAGGGTTTACATGTTTGGCCTTGTTATTCAAACCCTACAGCCTAAACCCTAAACCCTAACATTCCAGGCCCCCCGCAAAATGGGCATAGATCAAGCGAGGGGGGGAAGGGAGGGCGGTTGTTAATGCCAAGCCAACATCGTAGGGTTTAGGGTTTAGGGTCCCTTACATGATTCCTACATGGATTCGCCATTTTGACCCTAAGTGTTCAGACCTAGATCCTAAACTCTAAATCCCAAAGCCTAAATCCAATCACCAGACACGCCGGAACCCCCCTGAAACCCATAATCCTAAGTCTCTCTGACCGCGAGCCTACTGTAGATGCCTGCGCATGATTACGAATAGTATTCTCCTGGCACCCTGCTAGAATTAAAAACACATCCTCAAACCTGAACCCCTAAGAACCCCTAAACCCTAAACCCTAGACTCTAAACTGAAGCCTTAGATAGAATCATTTAAACTCCAATTGAAATCATTGTCCCTTGAAAGCACATACATTTTTCGGGGAATATTTGAACAGTGGGTGGAATTACAGTTGTGTCACTCATGTGAAGTCAACAGTAAGCTTTACGTACGTAATACCCGATATACCCCATACATAGCTCGCATAGCGCCTAAATATGCCCCAAACCCTTAACCCTAAACCCCTAAACCCTAAACCCCTAAACCCTAAACCATGTAAACTTCTGTATTTCACTCCTTTTGTTGCCCTTAGCTTCGGGCTTTTCTTGGGTTAATTCAGAGTTTAGCCCTGAAACCCTAAACCCCAAAACCTGAAACCTAGACCCTGAACCCTAAAACCTGAACCCTAAACCACAGCCTACAGGATTTGGGGTGTTGGGTTTATGTTGATGTGACGGAGTTCAGGATGTAGGATCCCTAGCCAGTCCCATGTGTGGGTTTAGGGTTTATGGGCTGAGGGTTTGGGGCTTGGATGTAGGGGCTTAGAGGTTGAGGGG